CAATTCAAACTTTGTACATTTGTTCCACTTCGCCGCATCGACAAACTTTGCCATCGATTTCATCCTCATCTTCATTTCGTCATCTTCTCATCTTCGTTTGCGTTGATTCATGTTACGCATTTGTCCTTCAAATTGTTGATTTCATTAAATGTAAGTAGTTGAAGATTTATTTGTTTGTTTTTTTTTTTTTTTTATTTTTGCTTTATTTTTTTTTTTTTTAGGTTTTTAATAGCAGCTCTTTGCATGACTGAAATGGAAACCTATGTGAACTCAGCTTGGTGTGAGTAGATTTCTTTAATTTTTGGGATATATGGAATTCTTAAAGCTGCTAGCTGTATATATGAAATGAGTGTTTGGTTGGTTTCCCATTAATTCCAATTTGAGAGAAAAAGAAAACATGTTTCGTAATATCTATATATAAAACTTCAAAGAGTAGTACACATCGACAATCTATATAGAATTCTATTGAATAAAATTATTAATAATAATATTAGCTAGTCTAATATCCAACGATATTATATATTATACGATATTGTATCAAATCCACTTCTGCACTTTATATAAGGGTCTTTAATCTTCGTCCTGCCCTAGCCAGCTTTTACTTGTAACTGTTTTTCTTTTTAGCTGCAGGTAATAGACAACTTTTAATGCGCGTGGCAAAAACTTTCCAACAAGTGCTTGAGTTTGACATGTGTGTGTGTATGTGCTTCTAGTACTGCTTCTAGATAGCCGCTAGTTAGCATGGCCAAAAAAAAGGAAAAAAAATTGCTCACTCTCTCCCCCTCTCTCTCTCTCTCTCTCTCTCTCTCTCTCTCTCTCTCCCTCTCTCTTTCTGTCTTACTATCTCTGCTTTGGCTTATGCTTGCGCGTTTGTGCAGCTCATGCGAACAAGGCTAACAGCAAATGTGAGCCATGAAAAATAATTGCTACACAGCGCTGCTCAGAATTTGAGGCGCCTCCAGTTACAGCAGCAGCACGCGTCGGCAATTTAATTTATAAAATGCAACAACTTGTAACTAATGAAAATGCACTTAATTTGCGCCCTCCGTTCAAATGGCTTGGAACAACAACGTTGTCTGCCGCCGCCGGTCCTCACTAGCTTCACTAGCTAGCTGATGGGCGTGGCAGCGTAAACATATTGTTACCCAGTTGCAGGCACAATTGAGCAGCATTTGCGCATTTGTCAGAGATAGCGACACGGCAAATGCGACTTTTCCGCTCGACTTTTCTCTTTGACTGCACTTTAAGCGCGCGCCAGGAGGACGAAACGACGGAATGGCGCAACAGACAGTTGCAGCTCTTTACTGGCTAGCCACCAACAGCAATTGGCAAGTCCCAAAAAAAAAATTGCCACATTCTGTAGGTAAGCCACGGCGCAGCGTTTAAGTGTCGCAATTACCAACAATTGCAGCAATTTGCCACCAAAAGAGAAATGGGAAATTACTAAACGAATATGAAATGCTCTCACAAGAATTTGATTTGGAATTTATGTGCATATATGATATATGTATATGTATATGTATATGTATACATATCGTTTAATAGAGTTAAAAAAGCAAAAGTCTACAAGTATGAATATGAAGTTTTTATTATTATTTTATTTTTATTATAATATTCTATATATTTTTCTATATTTATAAATTTGATATTCTCTGAAATCACCTTCAAGCTGTAGCTATAAATAAATTTAATGTAACTTTGGTATATAAATATTTTTTACAGAAAGTTACATAATTCATATTATATTATTATATTAATATTTTTATCAGAAAGTTTCATTAACTTTATAATCTTTATAAAAGCAAGTCACCTGCTTTACCTCACACATGACGTAATTGAAACATCCTCTAGCAGCGCATAGAGTATAGAGCAAACAAAAGAGGAAACTGTTGCCGCATAAAGTTTTTCATGCAAGAAGCGTGAAGCGCTGCAACAGCAGCAGATAATGCGGCACTTATCTAACTTTCAACGTACTTGCAACTAGCTTTCAGTGGGCACTTGCAACCAAGTGGACGGCAGCTTAAGTTGAATGCTAAAAGAATTTAGCATTGAGGGGCAGAGATATTTCAGAGAGTAAATCAAATGTGTTGGAAGTATATACGGAACTTTCAATGAAAAAGGTATTTTAGAATCTAAAAATTATTTATTGAAAACACCTATAGATAGATGTATAACAATTATAAGAAAATGATGTTTAAGAGAGTACTTAAAATATACATATTGAGACTTAAAACAATATAGAGGCTCATGGCTACGATTTTTCTTGAATCATAATAAATATTTCGTTTACTTTAACCTTATTTATTCATTGAATTTATTCTCTGTGTAAATTCAATAAAAATTCAAGAAGTATTTACTAAATATGGGCTTAAAATTGAATGACGAAAACATTTCACAGATAAAATATATCGAAATTTACAATAATCAAACAAAATTCAACTAATATATTTCTTGAATTTCCCATGTGTACATACATTTCCTCCTACCTTTAATTTAGAATTCACAATACTAAATCGAATATCAAATAATTTGCTTTAATCTCACAAATATTTCCTTTGCTTTATTACAACCTCTCTTCCATTTCCCCTCGGTGCGTATTCAGTTGTAAAATAAATAAATTGAATATCTACGCAGCAAATATTTCGAATAGTTGCAATCGACCCACAGGCAGCTATCAATAGGAATGCCTGCAACGTGCGGTTGCTTTGTATAAAATTACTTTGTGGCGCCACAGAACTCTCAGGCGCAGACTAAATGTCGCTGTTGCAGTGTTGCAAATCTGATTTGGTTGAGCTGCGTGAGTGGTTTTCAATAAGTAAATGCCTTTGTGCTTTTATTTATTTATTTATCTTGTTTTTGTCCGGCTCCACATGTCGTATGCGCGATGTGGTAAATGCAAATGCAATAAGCGCTGCATTTATTTGCAATCAATTTCTTGTGCACGACTGAGCTAATTAATAATACGACAAATACGACAAAAATAAAATTTAGGTTGGAATTTCATTAAATTTGCCGCACTGCGAAAAATATGGCAAAAATGCACAGCAACAGCAACAGCAACAACAACAACAAGAATTGCAAAAGATACTTTTAAAATGTGCGCAAATATTTGCTTTTCAAATGACAATGAATAAATGCAACAACAGCAGCAGCAACAACATTGATAGCAACAGTTGCTGCAAAAGTTTGCGCTTTTGGCTTTGCTGTCATTTTAATGAAGTCGTTGTTGCTGCATGCCGCAGGCAAAAGTTCAATGCGTTGCAGGCAGCTACTAATTAAATTTCATGCATCAAACTAACAACAAAAAGTTGCAACTTGAGTGCTCTTGCTTTGAGTCAGTTAACGCTAATGATAATGTTGCTGCTGTTGCTGCTGCTGCTGCTGCTGCTGCTGATGTTGCTGCTGATAGTGCAACCTGCTTACTAATATATACATACATGACATGGGACAACAGGCACCGCGAGCTCTGTGTGTGTCAGCCCACAGCCCACAGCCCACAGCATGCAGTGTCAGTTCATTTATCTACAAGAGTCTCGGCAACAGTCGGTGTGGCAGCAACAACAGCCTCAACAGCAGCAACTATTGCAGCAGCGGCAGCAACCGGATGCGTGGGCGACACACAGACGTGCGACAGCAGTTGGCAATCAATAAATCCCAGGACCTAGCTCCTGTTGATATTTGCGCAAGGCAAGGCAATGCATAAATGCACACACACACACACACACATACGCACACATGTGTTCGCTGAGCTGAGTGTATATGAGGGTTGATTGCTGACGTCCAAGCTGCAAATTTGCATCAGCAACTGGTTGTTGTCATGACTACCAGAGTTAGAGCCGTTCGTCCTTTTGGGGGTAGCACCAGCAGAATAGCAACAGCTCGAGTTACATACATGTCCATTCCCTAATGGAAAAGTACAGTTGCGCCCAAGAGACACCGCAGGTGCTGTTTGGGCATTTGTAACAATACGGCAAATGCAATTAGTTTGTGGCAGAGATAATAAAGCTTCAAATTGCTGAAGACTTGTTAAAAATACTAATTGGTACTACTCCAATTACTGCTCAGCTTTTAATTAAACAATATTCTGTTGCACATGAAATCTTAGCTGGAAAAAAACTTTCTCATATATGGCGAAAATAACAATTTCAAATTGCAGTTCATGGAAATACTTGAAAACATTCAATGGCAATATGCTCAAAGGAAATATGCCATACAATGACTTAATTATTCTCAGAACCATTTTAGCGTTAAAAACTTTGAGCTCTTAGCACGCTTCGATGAGCAAACCAACCTCACCTATAGAGTTTAAGACATTAAACAAAGTTTATTGCCCACGTTGTTTATTTTATGGCATTTTTCAACACTTTCAGAGCAGACTCGTAACTAAATGTCTCGCACTTTACAACACTACGAATACTGATGACTAACTATCTACCTGATATTTTACAGTACTTTAAGTAATGCCCCACAAATATCTAGTTATTTGACAGCACTTTAAGTGCCAAGCTGAGAACACACACATTTTGACGGCACTGTACCTCTTATGTGACAGCCGCACACAAAATGGCGGCGCAGTTTTGGATTCCATGTGGTGCAATACTAATTTGATTTAACTACTGTAACTGGCTTAGTCCGATGCACTTTGTCTGTTTCCGGTCAAATAATGGAGTGACAGGACACACAAGCACACACATGCACACGCATACACACACACACACACACCTGCACACATTTACACTGCCTGGACAAACTAGTTAAAAACATATTTGCATAGAAAATCTTGTTAAAATGTGGACGTGCCACGGTGCGGAGCCCTGGGGGGAATTTGGATTTAGTTTTGCGTCAAACTTTTAATTAAACTTGTAAATTGCTATACCATAGCAGTGAAAACAAACAAGAAGAAGCAGAGAAAAAACAATAACACGCACATGCAACAGCATGTCGCAGCTAAGTCGTCCCAGCGGCCGCTGGCAGTGTTGTAAAACGCTTGCTGTACTCACCAACATTGCCCTCCGCCTGCACAAGATCTCCATGTGTGACCAGCAACAGCAGCAGCGTTAGCGCTGTCAGCGAGACAAGTTGCAGCTGACGCGCCGATTGCCGCAGTGCGTCCAGGTTGCAGCATAAGCGGCTTAGGCCGCAGCCACGCCCCGTCGATGCGGCCGGCCGTTTGCCGTTTAGCAAACGACGGCGGGGCGACAATGACGGCGCCTTAGCACGCAGGGACAACTGTTGTTGCTGTCGTTGTTGTTTCTGATGTTGTTGCTGCTGCTGCTGCTGCTCCTGCTGCTGTTGTTGTTGCACTGGCTGCTTAACGCATGCTCTCTGTTGTTGCTGCTGTTCGCACTTGTCTGTTGTTGTTGTTGCTTCACGCTGCTGCTGCTGCTGCTGCTGTTGCCGGTGCTGCTGTTGCGCTCTAGTTGTTGTATATTGCTGCCGCTGTTGTCGCTGTTGTTGTACATTGCTTGCCATGATAATCGGCCCACCTGCAAGATAAGGCAGCGAATGAGCGAAAAGGGTTTTCATACTTATTGGGGTGCTTGACGGAAATTGAGAAAGAAATTGAATGAAAAGTTATGACTTGCACAGTGGTACAAAACTGATGGAAACTTGCCAAGGAACTTGGATCAATCAAGAAGTAAAGTAAAAAGAACGAAAATTCATGTTAAGTTAATGTTAAATTCATGTTAACTACATATTAAGTTAATATTAAGTTTATGTTGAGATCATGAAAAGTTCATATTAGCTTTAAGTTAAGTTAAGTAAAGTTAAGTTAAGTAAGTTAAATAATTTCAAGTTAAGTTCATGTTTAGCTCAAGTTAAGTTAATGTTCAATACATGTTATGTTCATGTTAAAGTTATTAAAGCAAAAGCCAGTCAAATTTGTATTTTCGTTAATACTTATACAACCTCAAACTGGGCATTAGTATGCAAATTTAAGTACTCCAAACTGGCATTGTCATTGAAATTCATTTAGCCTGAGATATTTATCTTCATATCACAGTTGCGGCATAATTTGTAAACGCGAATGCCCAGCTGTCGGCAGCGAATGATAAATTCATGCCATGCGGCTAAAAACTTAATAATTTGCAACATTTATCATGCGGCGCGATGACACGCGGAATCCGCTTGATGAGTGATTTTCGGTTATTTTCGTACCACTGTGCGGCCGGCCACTGCCACTGCCACTGCATTATGTATGGGCGAAAAATTGCATTTGCACGTATTTTAAGTGGGGCGGTGAAAGAGAACTTTGGGCTTTCCGGTATTGCTGGCGCTGCTTATACATATCCAAACAAGTATATATACAATATTTCGCTCAATATGCACAATACACGAGTTGCCCACATCCTTGAAGTCGGATACGTGCAAAGTGTAGGAGGAGGAGGGGAAGGAGGGGAGTGCGTGGGCGTGGCGCAGTTACTCAGTATTGTTGCGCTGCAGTTTCCGGACTTTTCCCAGCGCTCCTTTTGTGTGCTCTTACAAATAAGTCTTGCTGTTTATATGGTAATAAATGTCAGGCTTCATTTTGCCCACGAGCGCCACGAGCTGCCCCAAAAGGAAATTGATTTTTCTTGCCGCTTCAATGGAGCTGGCCGACAGCGACGGCTGCTCGTTACCTGTACACGCCCATTGCCCAAGCCTCCCTCACCCAGGGGTCCCTTTTTTGCTTCACCTGGCATATTTTGTGTTATTGTTAAGCACTGGACTGGGCAATGTCCCGACACCTGCAGCTCATCAGCAGCTGTCGCCGGGTTACACACCAAAATCTGCCGGGACTTAAGGCAAATGTCGTCCAAGCATTGAGCTCGGTTTGATAAAGGCCACAACAATAAGTGTGTGTGAGAGAGAGAGAGAGAAAGAAAACAAAGGCGAATCAAATTACCTGTCAATCTCGCCCAGACAAATTCCCAAAAGAAAAACTATTAAAGGCCAGATTTTTATAGCTCGACGCTCACTAGGAAAATGTTTGTGTGGCAGACTCTTTTTTATATTCTTCAGTAATTCCCCAAATGTTAAGCTGCCTTTTTTTGACAGCTAACTAAGAACACCAAAAATTCATAAAGGATGCGCTCTTACAGATGTAAGCTGCCGACAGATTTAAGCTTCTATTAAGTGAAAGCTACATAATTAAAAAAATATGTAATATATTCTCCTTATGGCACAAAGAAAAAGGTAAAGGCAAAGAACCCAATGAAGCAGCAAGATACAGAAAAGTTTGCGAGCAAAGAAAAATGAAAAATCTAGCTGAAATTTAATTAATAAAAAATAAAAAAGTGAGTTTATTAATCTGAAATTAATGAAAAACTAGGAGCAAACAAAATTCGATGTGGCCATCGGGTGGGATTGCCAGCATTATCCTCGACATTTATTAAAGCTGACGAGGGAGTTTTTATTAACTTAAGAGTGTTGAATCTCTAACTGAAGCAATTAGAAGAAACCAAAGTTCGCTTCATGATTAAATAGGATGTATTCCCCTAGTATACATCATACCCTGACAGTTCACTCTCAATGGGTTCACTGTGTAAATATAAATTGAAATAAATAATTCAAAGCTGTAAAATCAAAATGAGCAAAAGTTGGAAAATAGATTTTGGCATCCATAACCCAATCAGAAATTCAATTTGTAGCCAAGCTAATAAATGGCAGCCAAAGTTCATTTGTTTGCTCGTCTGTAAAATTGGTCGGAATACAAAATTTGGGGTATAAAATGGGTAAAGACCTAATTACATATTCCGTTTGCTATTTGCTATTGCCAATGGCAATTGAACGAGCCAAAACTTGAAATTCTTGTGAATAAATAAAGCAGAGCCAAGAAGCAGCGATAACTCCTACTTATATTAGTGCAAAGGCAAGTCGGGCATCTTTTACTGCGTATGACTGGCTGACATATCGGATGATGTGTTTTCAATCATTTCGGAAAAGCTGCGTGATTAATGGCAGCGAACAGGACTCCATTGGCTTGACAGAGTTATTCCCCAGGACATTGCTATGATTACGATTTCCACATTTGGTGGGATTGCGATTGCGACGCGTCTTGGGTTCATTTTTCATATATGTAGCTCCAGCCCGATGGGGCGACAGGCCCTCAGCCTTAATGGCTGGCAAAACTAAACAAAACTAAGCTTCAATAAGTCAAACGAGCCCACGGCGCTCCAGTGCCGCATGCCCCCATGACGTTGCAACATATGCGGCGGCATAATTAATCATCGCTCGAACGTGCCTAGACTCCAAGTTTCTTTTTCGCCCATTTCACCCGTTGCCTGCCGCGCAAAAACTTACGACAAAACTTAGCTAAGCTCTTTATAATATTACCTAATAATACATATATATATATATACATATAAAATAATATATATTATGCGAAATTTATTGCCAGCAGGCGGAATATTTGATTAGCTGCCCACTCGGATTCAATGGAAGCGCCTGACGTCATTTTCCATTTCCTTTTCCCGTTTATTTCCATTGGCAATTCAACTCAATTAGAAGCCCACCTGGGCAGTAAACCTTAATAATTGCAAAACGTTCGCCATTTCACTTTATAATATGCAAAGCCCTCCACCCCCTCTTCCGCTCTCCACTTGCCATTCGCTTTAATTAAAAGCATCGACCCACTGTGAACGAATCAGCAAACACAGAAGAAGAGTAATAAAGGAAATAAAGATAAATCAATATGAAAACGTAAAAAACCACAAGAAAATTATAATTCTGAAAAAAGTGAAGTGCCGTTAATGTTCTTTTCAAGAGCCATAAATAAGCTCTAACTTGCATTCGCTCAGCGCTGATCCATTAAAGATTGCTTAAGCTTTATTTGAAATAGCTAAGGACCCATCATTCGATTTGATTGCTCTTCACCAAATCCAAAGTATTTGTCTAGCATTGCGCATAAATATTTTGGCTCAAGGACTGTTAACAAATGGGAGTAAATTGAAGATTTTATTGCACAGAATATGGAATAAAAAAAAAATCGCAATTTAGCTGAAAAATGTCTTTAAATATTAAAAAATCTAGATAATGTAAATAATCTGCTTGAATTTTGATAGTTCAGTAGTAGAAAAGGCATAAGCTGATAAAAGCTTGAAGATAGGCTAAGAGATGAATATATACTTATTAATGAGAGAATTTTTATTCATAGAAATTTTTTATTTATTTTTAATCCAATTCTAGTTGAGAAGACCCAAGCTCATAAAAGCTTGAAGAGATGAATATATATTTATTAATAAATACATTTTTATTCAAAGGAATTTTTTATTTATTTTTCATCCGATTCTTAATAAAAGATTTAATTAACATAAAGCTTTTAAAGGATACCCATACCCAACACATGCAAGCACTGAGAAAAATGTAATTAATAAAAAGTTTGCCTAACAACTGGCCTATCCCATCTAGCAGAAGTGCCACGCTTATAATAAATGCTAATGGGTAGTGGCTATTTTTTAATTACGTTAACAGCAACATGCGGCATTAAGCCAGTTTGTTTCATAGAGCTTCATGTCCCTTTTCAATCTATTGCATTGCCGCATGCCACACAAAAAGCCGCAACTGCCACAGCATTTGTCACGATGCGTTTGTATGTTTGCCTTCTTTATTCCCATTTTTATACTCATTCACGAAAGTGAATCCGTCCGTCCGTCTGTCCGTCTGTCCGTATGAACGCAATCTATTTCGGCGCTATTGAAGCTAGAGAATTTGGAACACATACTCGTGTATATCTCCGATTAATAAAGTGTTAAAATTTTCCCGATCCGCACACTAGGGGCGTGGCAAATCGGAAAATGCATTTGCCGATATACCAGAAATCATGTTTGTTGAAGAGCTAGAAAGCTGAAATTTGGTATGTAGGTCCGCGTTGACCACCCAAGATCACGAGCTATGGCGGATATATCTACGCCCATTGGGGGCGTGGCAAATCGGATAAAACTGTATCTCCTAAAGTTGTAAGCCTAGAATGCTGAAATTTTGCACGTCAGCTAATGGTATGATTCTATAAAGTCTGAAGATAAATTACAAGTCTACGCCCATTGGGGGCGTGGCAAATCGGACCTGAAGATATAGTGATTTTTTAAATTCTCCTATATTTTGGACACTATTGATGGCAGAGACCTCAAATTTTGTATATATACTCGGACTGATCACCCAAGACCAAAAAGTTTTGTCGGATATATGTCCGCCCACAGGGGGCGTGGCAAACCGCAAAAGTTTATATCTCCTAAAGTATAATAGCTAGAAGCTTCAAATTTGGATAGTTGAGTTACTGGTAGCCTCCTCTATCGATTCCCCAAAAATAATTTTTACGCCTCTTTAGGGGCGTGGCAAATTGGAAAAGCCTGTATATTCTACAGTATTAGAGCGAAACTTAACTACTAAATTGTTGATGGGATGTGAATGAGTATTCCGCAGTCGGTAACGCCCGACTGCAACGTTCTTACTTGTTTTTTTTTTTTTTTTTTTTTTTGGTAGAACAACTTCTCTGCCCCTACTGGGCTGGGCTCAGGCTGCCTCACGCCTCGTTGCCAGCATTGCTGCAATTAAAATGCAAGGAAATTACTTTTAAATACATTTGTTGCGCTTGTCAAGCGGCTGCACAGGCAGCTTGGCCTGTTTTGCCTTTTGTTGTGCCAGCAGCTCCACTCCGCTCCACTTCCGTCCACCCAGCTCCTGCTCCTGCTGCAGCTGCTGCTCCGGCTGCTGCTGCCCCTTTAGCCGAAACCCATTGGCTTTCTAGTCACATCCGTTTGGCTTTTATTCGCGCATATTGCGCCCTGAAGCGACGCGCTTAAAATTCACACTCAGCTCGCAGCAGACCTCGCCAGCAAACCACACAACCCACCCACACAGCCCCCCACTAGTGTGTCACAAGCAGCATTTTCACTTTCCACTTTTCCATTTCCCACATTGGCAGCTTTTGGCCTCGACTTGCATATTTTTGGCTCGATAGTTGCCACCACTGAATTTCAATCATCAATTTCAATCAAATTCGCGGCAATAGCCGCAAATTTTATTGGCTTGGTAATACAAATTTGACGTCGTCTTTAGCCAACTGCAGCTGCGAAAACTTTTAATTCAATTAGGGCCATCAAAAAAACAGGTTAAAAATGATTACTTTTACTCGATAGCTGGTAGCCGCATGTGTCTAATCTTATTATCAAAGGGTTCAATAAATGGGCTAACTTAAATAATTGGAAACTTGCCATTGGCATTAAAAAAAAAACAAAAATAAAAAAAAATAGTATAACTTTTTGTATATACTAAGGTAAAAGCTAATCATTTTCTTTTATTTCTTTTATTAAATTACTATAAACTAAATTGAGTAACGTGTACTTAAAGCTATTTTATTTAGGGCTAGCTTACAGCGTGCATCCCTGCATGATTAATCGTTCAACAGATCCAAACACTATTTTACAACACTAGACTGAAAATCATTCAAAGGCTGTCAACAAAAGTCTGCTTCCCATTTCATAACATGTCACATTTTAACAAATTTATTATTCATTTTCCAACACTACACAGCATTACTAACACTGCTGTCAGCGCAGCCAACTTCACGTACAAAGTTTGCTTTTCTCTATTATTATTGAAAATCTTCGCATTAACTGCTCGAAGGGAAGTCTTACTTACATTTGGAAAAGAAATTTCATGAATCATACGAACAAATTTTGTAGCTTGTGAAAGGAAACTTTATGTTATAACAAATTGCCGCTCGTCAATATATTCGGGGCCGAAACTAGTGAGTAGAGCAGGCTGACAATGGGCAAAAAACAAAAGATGAAAAAAGCAGCCGCAGCTGCCGCAGCCGCCGCAGCCAAGGCCGCTGCTGATGACGCGGCCAAGAAAGAGAACAACAACCACGGCTGTTGCAGCGGCAGCGGCGGCGCTGGCTGCTGCGTCAAAGGCAGGTGCACTGAGAGCTCCAATCTGAAGCCACATCTGAGCTCCGTCAATATGCAGAATCTGATGACTCTGGCGGAGAATCTGCAGGCATCGCCAAGTGGCAAGTACAAGAGCCAGGAATCGTCTGGCTCCGGCTCCTCTGCCTCGGACAGCTCTGACAGTGACGATGCGCCCGATTCGCTGCCAGAAGAAGCCGCCGGCGCAGCAGGCGGAAGAGAACTGCAGCAACTGAAACAGTCGCCGGATGGGCCGCCAGAGATATTTTCGATACCAAAATATTCGCGAGGCGAGAAGAAAGCGCGTCGCTTGCTCATGAAACTGGACCTGGAGCCGGTGCCAAATGTCTCGCGCGTTACCATGCGCAAGGCCAAGAATGTGCTGCTGTGCATCGATCAGCCGGAGGTGTTCAAGTATCCCAATAGCAAGACTCTCATCTGCTTCGGCGAGGTGCGCGTCGAGAATGCCTCGAATGCGGCTGCCGCCCAAGCAGCCGAACGCTACATCAACGACGTGAATGTGCGTACACCCCAGATGCAGAAGGATGGCAGCGATGACCTCCTGGAGGCCCACGAGGGCGAGGAGGTGGACATCGAGGCACTGGGCAGTGCACTGGACGAGAAGGACATTGAGCTGGTGCAAATGCAGGCTGGCTGCACGCGCTCCACGGCTATCAAGGCGCTGATCAAGCACAATAGCGATGTGGTCAATGCCATCATGGAGCTGACTGTGGGCGTGGACATCTAAGCACCGTCTGCAGCGCGTTTTGTTTTTAATTCTAAAGTGTCGCAGTTGAAGTGTCAATTAAAAAAATATTCAAATTTGGTATCAGTTACCAATTGATTAGAGAATTTTGAATAATTGCTGAACTGATTAGCCGAACGGAAATTGCCTTAACATTCTGCCTGGGGTTGATCCCGCTGCATTCTCCATCGGCATTTCAGATGTCATATTATTTTCTAGCCTATGTAGTTCAGTTTTATTTCATAAATAATATCATCTCAGTAGCTCAGTAGTCAATTGCTTAACTTAAGTTAGCCTTAATTTTATATTAAATCGAATGTCTAATCAATAAATAGTAAATCAGTTCCATCTGATCATTTAATTAATTTTATTTTAATTCATTTCACGCAACGGCTTGTGTGAATATAATCAAAAATTCAGAATCATATGCTGCCTGGTTCTTGGGCTTTTCACGAGCAACATGCATCAACATGTCGGGGTTAGAGACGCTTTGAGCGCCGGCTCGTATATAAAATAGATTTAATCAAGACGAGCCTGAGGCCTACTCACATAAACCTAGTCTGATCCTCTTCTATGGATTTGACATCCACCCCATTTATCACTCAGGACTGCCATAACAGTCCTAGTAATCACATTCGAATTTTAAGTTTTACAGGCCTTTCAAAAATGCGTTAAATCTGAAATTTCCCTCACACATTTTCATATTCCACCTTTCACTTAGCCTCTTGTGAACTAGTTCCTGGAATTTGGCTCAAACAGTTGCAGGTAATTGTTGCCAACTTGCCAACTGAAAGAGTTTCTGTTCAACTGACTTCTGTATTACATTTTGCTGTTGCCGAAATGTCATTTATCTTAACTCGTTCTCGGCGCATTATATTTTTCTGTTTCACTGTCTTTTGTGAGGCTTTCATCCTTGAGCTGCTCTGGCACAGTTGCTTAACTCCAGCTTTAGTTTTCTGTTACGTTTCTTTTCAACTTTGTTATCTAGGCGATTTTCCCTTCAGTTTTCGTCTTGCGCATTTTCATTATTTTGTATTGTAACTGGGTGTAAGTAATCAGCTTTCCAGTTGGTTGAGGTTTTTGTTTGTTTGTTGCTGTTGCTGTTGTTGCTCCTGTTGCCAGGTGCCATTGAGAAGGACTCGCTGAATAAGTATTCATTCAATTAAAATGGCTTTTGTTGGCGGACGGCTTCGCTTTCTTTTGACATCCTGTCGCCAGGCAAGCAGTCGTCCTGCGAGCGCTGAGAGCAAAGCCACTTAATAAATGGCGGGTTCTAACTTTCGGCTTAATTTCATTCAATTTGCAGCTGTCGTCAGCAGCCGTAAAAAGGACTTTAGTTTTTGCATTGTGGCAGCACTCGCTGTGCCGCTGTACCGCGCCCCAGTCAAGCCCCGCCTAACCCAGCCCACCTCGGCCCAGCGCACGTTCAACAATTTCGACCGAGTGAAAATTACCGAAAATAAAACGACAATATTTCTGTGGCATGTTCGACTTGCTAATGCCCTGTAGGCAATTCGATTGAGTACAGTTTGGACTACTTATATTCATATGGCTAACGATATTACGTATACGTTACGATGGCAAATTTAAAATATTTTTATCTCAAATATTTAAATCTTTAACGTTGATGCTTGACTTTGCTCATTTTATAAAAATTTTATAAATTCATGCACGAAAAAATACACATACGCCCCATTGAACAATGATTATTATAATTTTGGATAGCTTTTGCACATTTTAGTTGATGAATTTGATATTTCAGGATAATAAAATGTAAAATGAAGACTGGCAAGGACCAAAATAGATGCATCATGATTGTGGATCAAATTAAATGATTTGATATTACGTATACGTGCTGTTGGTCATCATGAATATTTATTTATTCAACCAATTCATTTACTCGCAATATAATTCTGAAAGCGTCGGAGATTTATTTATTGATTTACATTTATATTATTTACGCAATCATTGTTTCAATCACTTTTACAGGGTAATCAAGCAAATAGCTTGGCAACACTCTTAATTCTATTGCTGGCGTATTGTAAATTGAAGCGGAAATTGATTAAGTTGGCCGCGCAGAGTTTTAATCAGTGTTTTGAGGACGCGCTCGCAATACAAATTTATTTGACAGTCCGCAGTCAGCGGCGGCAAACTTTGCAGCAGATGCCATGGTGGCAATGGTGGCAGATGGCTGGATGGGTAGATGGGTGGAAGGTGGCAATTCGTGGCAGGCATCACCTGGCCACATGGCGCACGTCTTACGGTTGAGTAAACAGCTTAAGTAGCCAGAAACAATGAAGTGTGTGGGTGTGGCCCTCGCGCCAATTCCAGCTGCCAACTAACGACTGCAACTTTCTACAAACAATTTCAAGTTTTGTGGCTTTTCTGGTCGAAAAAATTGTTCTACCTATTTTTCGTTTTGCGGCCGTCTTTAAAATGAAATTCTCTTACCTTTGAGAAAAAGAATTTTTGCTAGAGAGTTTGCCGAATATTTCGAATCTGTTGCGGACTTTAGTTTTTCAACGTTTGATTTACTTGCGTATTTCTTGGACTACAGCCGCAAAGGATTTCGCCTTATGTTCCGTCTGGACGGCAGCTTGTGGCTGTCAGTTGCGGTGCGTCCGAGCATGAAACAAGAACTGTCAAGAGCTTGCAATCTAAGTGGAGCAGCACAGAAAGTACAGTTCTCACAGCAATCTGGCATGTATTGTTCAAATTTGGCTAACGAGGACAGAAATTCTTGAGCGAAATTCTCAGCGCTGAAATACCAAAATAAAATCCAGGTAAACGCAAACACAAAGTTTTTTATATTTTCCAAAATTTCAAATAAATAAAGTGTTGTTTTTATTAGAGATAAATATCGGAAATCTATGTGTCTATTTCTCTCAGTGTAACCATTTATATAACATTCTTATGCAGCTTCACTGGCTGCCAGACCAGGAGGCAGTTCATCATTCAGAACGTGGCTGGGGCTTAAGCCACTTCAATATTCGTTTACTGCTGAGCTAATCACAATGCTGCGGGTCAAAGGTTGCACACTTGAGCCTCAAGTGGAACTGGCAGCAGGTAGATGAGCCCACCTGGCACTTTAGAGCTCTTCGGTGCCAAATTATTGTGCATATCGAGCGAGCACTCGACCAAGCACACACACAACGACAGCTGCGTATCTACGAGGATTATTTAGGGCTCTTTCCGGTCAACGTTTTGCGGGCAAAACAAATTGCCTTTGTCTGACATTGACTTTCATACAAATATACGCAATTACGTACATACATATATACAGTTCACTTTCTATATAAATACATATATATGTACGTGTTTAAATACAATTCATTTTTTGAGCTCAACGTGAAAATGAAAAGGGATTTCCGTTGTGCGGAAAATGAAAAGCAATTAGATAAGCTCTGGCCGCCAGCTGAATGTGGCAATTGGATATGATTTGTGTGCCGCCCCTTGCCCCATAATCTGCTTGACTATCTCCAGCTGTTTTACAGCCGTTCACTGCATGAGGTAATCCCTTTTAATAAAGCCTTTACTTTGACTTCAAATTAAAACGAGAGCCCAACCGTTGACCTTTGTTCTAATATTTCCTTTACTCAGCTTTTGATTAAGCTGGGAATTTTGCAATAAAATCGGATTTCATATTAAGCACAAATTCTTTTTTTTATTTCCTTTGGCTTTTCAATTTGACTATTTGTGCATTTCCTTTGTGCTGAAATGTACTCGATTCTGTAGCTCAGTGGAAATTGAAAGAGCTATCATATTTTTTGCTGAAAATTCGCTTTTCAGCGAATTTTATTTCAATGAAATAAGAAATTTCCACTTGAGTCTTTATAAATTTTTATAAACATACTTATTGGACCACTGATTTACATAAGTATGTAAAAATTATCCATAAAATTAAACATATTTTATATATTTTTTTATTGTTTTTATTGCTTATTATATTATTATGTTATTCGATTTCTTGTACAATTTTAAAAATAATTCTTATATAAAATCATTAATTAGCTTGCTAAAAAAGTTCATAATTATTCGTAAAATATATATACATATATTTTGATTATTATTTATTATAAATATATTATTATTTTTTTTATTATATTTTATTATTATTTATATATTTTTGTTTAAATTGATTTTTTAATAAACGAATTTTTAGTATCTACAAAAAAATATTTCTAGCATAAAATTGGCAATTATTTCATTAAAAAAGCGCAAACTTATTTAATGAAAACTTATAGCTCGAGCTCTCTAGCTAAGCTAACTAAGCCTAATGGCTTAGCCAATAAGAGGAAATTGTGTAGAACTCGAGCTAAAAATAGTGCGAGCTGCTTTTTAAGCTGTTGCTGACTATGTTTTAGTTTTATATACAGATATATATATATGTATATTCTTTTTTTTTTAATTTTTTATGTATGTATGTGCTTCAGCACATCAGAGGCTCACACAACCCATTTTCAAATTAGAAGAAAACAGCTTGGAGAACATTTTTCAATTTGAAAGCAAGCTGCATGGAAATTGTGCACATCCTGAGCTACAAACTGGGATCCGCTTTGGCGCTGTCAAATCCGCTTACAAAAGCAGCGAGTCCTGTGAAAGCTCCTGTTGCTGCCGTTGTCCTGGGCAACTGCAACAAAATGTTGCACACGCGCGCATTTATGAATACATACATATATAAATATCTATCTATCTGTATATATATACATGTATATTTATTTTACCCGCAGCAAATTTTGACTGCGCAATGTTTTATATTTTTTATGATATTTTTTCGAGCGTAAAATTTAAATAAAAATGCATTAATAAAATGAAATGTGAGATATGAACTCGCATTTATTTTTAATCTTGTTAATATGCACGTTGACAGGCCTGGCGAATTTTCGCAATCTGTATCTGTGCTTTTGTGTATCTGTAATTGGTCAGCAGCAGCAGGAGGAGGAAAACTGCATATCAATTGGAAATCAACATTCGCGTTTTCCAAAAACAAATTGCGCAGTTTGTAAAAGAGACTCGAGATAGGGTTGCAGAGGCAGATTTCCCCATCTGACTGTCGACTACAGTTGCATCTCACCTTTTGTGTGAGTGTGTGTGCGCGTGAGTGTGTGTGCGCGTGTGTGTGTGTGTGTCTGTATCTGTAGCTATTACTTTAACTGTAACTGTATCTATAGCTGTTTCTTATCTGCTTGATAACAGGACATTGATATGCATTAAATGTGGGAATTTTTTCATGTTTTGCTGATATTTGCTTCTCTTTTTTTGCTGTCTCATTCATATAATGAATACGTAATTTTATCATTAATTTATGAATAATGCGATTGATGTGCGTTTGCCTTAATTTTCCATCATATTTCACAATTTCAGCAGGTAATTATATAATAAGTGAATTTCATTTGCATTTTAATTGGAAATACAATTCTTATTCATAATCATATATTTCATTATAAAAATGTCAGTGCAGATCGCAAAAGATGGCGTCGCGCACAATTTGCATAAAAATATGCTGCACAAATTCGTAGCATATTTTTCAGCGCAGAGGGCGCAATAGAGAACCCTTTTTAGTCAAACGGAAGTAACGCAAAAGTTTGGCTTTGCACCAAAATTTGCAAAGTTTTCAGACTTTTCATTGAAGTTTTCATAAGTTTTTTTTTCGGTTGGTTTTATTTTATTATTTTTTGTTGTTTGTTCTTTTCGAGCTTCGCCCGTGACTTACCACAGTTGATGGTGCGCAGAGCTCTCATGATAAGCCCGCTGCATTTTGGGCATCAATGCTGTGCGCCATATGTTGCCACAAAAGACAGCGACTGGGACGGCGACAGCGGCAGCAGCTGAAGATGTCACACAGCCAATGAGCGGAGCTGGCCACACTCGAACGCCAATCGCTGAATTAGCTGTCGCAGAACACTAGTTGGGAATTTTGCCTACTTGTTGTAGGCGTCACTTTTCTTATTTAACCGCTCAACACATTGCGGAGCGTTCAACACGCTGCGCTCACCAGGTTGAACTGAACTCGCCAGCTCGCTGCGTGCATCAGGTAGACGCACACGAGCCGAAGCACAGCCAGCCGAGGCACGACGGCCAACACACGAGCGATGTGCGTCGTGAGCCGAAGTGATGCTTTCCAACTTTCCAGCTGCACGACAGGGGTAACGAGTGTCTTTCTATGTGTGTGTGTGTGGGCAAAGCTTTTGGTGTGAAGCTTCTGCTCTGCCTCTGCTAGCTGCATTAACTGCTACTCCTGTTGCGTCGACAGCGCCGCCCACGCTAAAAAGCTTTGAGCTTCGTCAGCTCGCGTCATGCAGCTTTTCATGCCCACGCAATGCGTGCCAGCTTGCTTGTATGGTAGGAGGCGGGGCGCTGCCTACAGCAACATTGGCGCCTGTCTTCAGTGTGAGGCTTGCCTTCTCGCTCACTCACTCGCTCGCTAACTATCTCTCTCTCTCGCTCTTACTCTCTCTCTCCCTACTCTTGCTTGCGTTCTTTTGGGTTTCGTTCCAAAAATAGCAACAGCGCGAACATTCTGGTTGCCGCTGTCCCTGCCCCTGCCTCTGCCTATCTCCCCCTGCTATCTTCTTTATATTTGGCCACATTTTCTTTTAAGATTATTCAACAAAATGTTTTGCTACTTTTTACACAAATTTCGCCTTTAAGCCTGCCCATCAAAAACTAAACCACAAACCAAGCAACCCAGCTCCATCTTCCAATCCCTTCCCTCCCCTCACCTACCGTTTCCTTCTTTAGGCCGAACACCACTTGTTTTTCTGCACAAGTTTATAAATTTGATATGTTTTTAACATTTGTCAGCTATTTTTAGGCACAGTTTTGTTTTAGAAGCAGCGCCTGCGTAGGGAAAACCCCTAACCCCAGCTCCTCACATTGATTTTTTTTCTGTTTTGTTCGCGTTGTTTTTGTTATTTTTCGGCTGCCGACGCCTTTTATGAATGAACTTGGCTCACATATAACTTATGTGATTTGGGGGCGACAGTGCAGTAGCCCACTTGCCCACCCCTTCAGTAGTCCTTGCTGGGGGGTTAGTTTCGAATCAGACTTGAAATTTCATTAAGTAAATGGATTGACATTGTCGTTGTCGCTGTCGTTGAGGTTTGTGCAATATGCCATATGACGCCATTGTATTACAATTCCATTCGCATAACCATTCTTTGGTGGCATTGGGCCAAAGAATATAGTCGGACTTCGCAAACGTGCGGGAATTATGATTAATATTTGCTTAGTTTTTAAATTAATTGCATGCAACGCCTGCCGCCTCCAGTTTCATTAATAATTCCGCAAATAGAAAGGGGGCAGCGGAGCAGGCTACGGGCCCTAGAGCCCTTGCCATATCGAGCGATAATTTATTGCCTCGGGCAGCAGCTTGTGCTTTTCATATCATAGAAATGGACTATTTAATCAATGTTTTCAATTTGATGCGAGTCAACAAATATATGAGAGATAAATACACGACTGTTTAGTGATTAGATATTCAATTTGGTTAATTTATGTTGCGTACTTTTTGGGGCAACGCAAATTGGGCTTCAGAACCACATTGTTAAAGGGATTTTATCGTACATGCATAATGTAAACGGTGATACAGTTATGAGGCGCTCTCCAATATGTTTGGAATAGAATATAATACGATACGATACGATAGAGCTCTCTGGAATACCATTTTTCAATTTACACTTATATGATTAGAAAACCTAAAGTCGGTGTATTAGAATTCGACACGTAGAAGAAGACTAAGAAAACATTTAACGAGATCTTTTAATCAGCGAGCAAGAGACTGCAGTCGATAAGTATATAATGAGCCTTCAGAGTGGTTTCGAGAGCATAAGTGGGACACAAGTGTAAGCATGTGTGCATATGCAAGAAAAATATGGCGCTTCCAACGAGTGCAAGTAGTTTCATGCTACATATGTATATAAAACTATAGGACTAGTAGTTCTTCGAGACCTTAGCACTCTCATTTATTAGTCAGTTACTGGAACTGCATATGAATTTCCAATTATTTCTGGCATATTCTAGACATTAAATAGAATGCCCTATTCGACATATATCCGCAAAATCAACTACTAATAGCAGACAAATATGTTTTTAGATCCGTTGTGACGTCGGCGTTAAGTACGTATCATGGAATATTACCTTAATATTGATAAAAATTATTATAGTTCAATAAATGTGACCTCAATGCCACACAAGTTCATCGATGCGAAATCTATTTGAATAAAGCAGATGAAGTACTTAAGCAACAATTAATGATAGAGATCAAAGAAGAACGTAATATGAAAAGTATATAACATATAAATAAAAATATAAAACATTAATATAGTCAAACTATTAAATAAATATATAAATAATAAATAAAAAATGTGATAAAAAAAAAAAAAAGTTTTGTAAAATAAAAAAAAAATAAAAATACGAAACTTAACAAACATAATTTTATAATTAAACAATTTAAATATTTGTAGCTCTATGAAAATTTCTCAAGCTCATAAGCTCTGTCAACTCTTTAATTTTAGTTTTTATAATCTTGTTTATTAGTTTTTGTATTTTTTTCGTTTTATTTTATTTCATTAAATAAATTTTGTTGAAACTCTTTTACTGCTGCTGTTAAATATTTATGTTGCCGCCGGGCTAACAATTTATGGATCCTTTCAACTATGGAGCGAAAGTGTTTCTCATAAGTTTTTCGTTTTAATATATAAATATATATGAATATATGTACTTTTTTCCGCCTATTCTAGGTGGACCTATTTAGTAAATTTTATGTGTGAGATTTTATGAATTGCTTTTTTATATGCCTCAGTGTTGACGCACAAATATTTGCGTTTCATTTATATAGCGAGTGTCGCCGCGACGGGGGAATTGTGGCACAGCTTCCGGGTTTGTTTACATAAGTCTTAATCAAAATGAATTTCTCGCTGTGACACAGACACACTCAAATGTATAACCACATGAAGCCATATATATTTCTCCAAAGAATAGAAATGTTGTGCTATATTTAACACAGCCACACATCCTCACAGCCAGAAGTTGTCAACAGCGTTCAATCAAAGCAAATGAAGTACATGAAAAACACCCACGGGCCACAGCCTAGGCACAAACAACTAACAACAAAAAAGTTTGCAAAAGACGCGTTTGCGACATCGACAGATGCTGCCTGTAGGGCAATAAGTGTTTGAGTCACACTGTGTCACATGTCCTGCCACCTGATCTGTCCAAAATCCGGAGCACGTGACTCAGTTTCCATTGCAACGAGCCAATAAACGATGGAAAGCTCCCAACAGCTGCGACAACTTTTCAATGAGTGACAACTTTTTCTTAAATTTGAGCCTGTCATTTAGCTAATAATAGTAATTTTATGTAGTCAGCTCTGCCTAATGCAGAGAAAAGAAAACAAAAATAATTTTGCTTTATTTTAATCGTTTGCCAATGAAAGCAAATCAAATAAAAAATGTGTTGCATACTTTTATGCGTTACAAATTATTAAGCGACCCACAAACTTCAATTTGAACGGATACTAAGAGCTAGATTAAAGACATGCTTAAAGGTTTTAAAGGATATATATTATATGCATTACAACTGATTGTAAGACACAGCCATCATAACAACCACAGCTGCAAGTTGTCTATGCTAAGCTGGCAGACCTGTGTTCTTTTGAAGCTCATTGAAAAACATTTGATTCCCAAAACATTTTCAACAATGTTATGTTATGGTCGTGCCCAAGGGCCAACCTTAACAATCTTCAAACAAAAATACAAATCTTATCTAAAATTCAGAGCCCAAAGGAGAGGCATGCGAAAGCTAATTTTGATGTTTCTTTTCCTTACTCCAAATCCATTTAAAACGAGTAAAGAGAGCAAATGGGATTTGGGCGGATTTATGGAGCAGGTGAAAGAAGGCGTGTCTGGGGACGTAATGTACAGTACTGCCTCAATAGTACAGAATATGGAGAGCATTTATGTAATTTGCTGCAGGCTTTAAATTTGTTCACGCTCTGTATATTTTAAATATATTAAAAATGAGAAAACAAATTTAATTTTTTATTAATTTATTAATGATATCCGAAAAATTATATATTTTATTAATTTTTTTTATTTTAATTTTGCTTTTCAAATAAATAAATAAATATTATATTAAATTGCCGGTAAAACAAATGTATAAATTACAAAAAAAAAAAAAAAATATATATATATATATATATATATTTTTTTTTTTAAATTAAATAGTCAACTTCAAATTTAAACTAGACTAAAAAATTGTTTATATACATATATATATATATATATATATATATAAAAACAATTTTTTAGTCTAGTTTAAATTTGAAGTTGACTATTTAATTTAAAATGTTTTTATTATTATTTATGTATATTTTTTCATATTGAAATGATTTATTATTATACATATTAGCGTGTGCGAACTGTGACTATCCTATCGAGCCAGTTTATTAAATGTTATCTTGACTCACGATTATTTGTACTAGGAGGGCTATACTATACCCAGTGGGACTTGTCTATATATAAAGCCTATTTATTTATTCACAACTAAAGATTTGGTATATTGTATTTTCGACCAATTAAAAGAATACTCGAATATATATGTGTGCATATGAATATTAATGCAAAAATGTATAGCATACATGTATAATTTATTTACTAAAAGCCTGCACGCGTTGTTAATTGACGCGTTGTTAGCTATTTGCATTTTGCATTTCTAGTTTCGAGCGGCAGATGGCGTGTGAGTGCTAGCTAGCTGCCTGGCAGGAAAGCGGGCGCACCTGTTGCCACACAAGCACACAAAGTAAAGGTCGAATTACTTAGTCTGTACCATGCAAAATCATTTACAAGCACATATTAGATATATATGTGTGTATATATGTATATGTAAAATGTGTATATATATACTTAATGAAATTGTTCTATTTACTATGCAACTTACCTCAGTTTGACATTTATCGCGTTGCTCATGTAGTTTTTTATATCATATTCAGCGCAAATGAACGAAGACATGCAAATTGTTGTGGTTGTTGTTGTTGTTTATTATTGCTGTTGTTTTAATTGGTTTCTTGCGGTTGTTTGGCTGGCTGGCTTGACTTTAGTTCTTGGACTTCTACTAATTGGCTAGCTGAAAAGACACACACACACATATACATATATAGATGCATTTGCGTTTGACTATTCCATGTCCATTAACAAATTCGCTGCGACAGTAATTGTAACTGTAACTTAAACTGTTCTTTGCTTTCTCGCTTTTTCGTTATTTCGCTATTTTTCGCGCTGATGGCTTGTGGCTTGTGGCCTGTGGGCGAGCAGCAGCAACAACTTCTTTTTGAGGCAAACAACGTCAGCGACTGACGACAGCAGCACCGCCCGCTCGATGTCCTAAGCCAAATGAGTTTTATGTTCTGCTGCTTCTTCGGTAAGAGACAGCGCAAGTGTGTGTGTGTGAAAGAGAGAGTTAGAGACAGAGAGGTAGAGAGCAGTAGCTAAAGAGAGCGAGAGTGTGAAAGCCAATGAGTGAACTTGTGAGAGCGCCGGTAATTCGATTTCTGAGTGAATGAGTGAGTTGGTGTCTATGTATGTGTGAGTATGTGTGTGTGTGCTTCAATTTATATTCGTGTGTGGGCTGGCAGCGACCCGCAGGTGTTTTGCAGGCTCATGATGACGTTGATGGCGTTGTAAGAAAGAGAGTGCAAATGGGCGTGAGAGTAGGCGCGTGTAGCGGAACCCGAACCTGGACATTTAATTACCCAGAAGGCGCCGCGCTGTTAATGTTTATGACACTCTCCGATATTGCCAGCTTGTTTGCATTTCTTTTGATGCGGCCAGCAAGAAAAATCAGAGGTAAAAACCTATCGCACGCCCACATCGGACAGAGACACAGAGCGAAAGAGCAAGCGAGAGCGAGAGCGAGGTAAAGCGCGAGAGTGTGAGAGCGTATGGCGACGCAATAAGCGGGCGCTGCTGTCATAGACACACACACACACAACACGAATACATTGTATGCTTATGTGTGCGTGTGTGTGTGTGTACATGGGACAAGTTGGCATGGCCATTATTGTTGTTGCTCTTGTGTTTGCACAAATTGTCCGTTATGCTGTCGCTTGTTTGTGAACACACACACACATACAGTCACATAAATTCTCTAATTAAACTGCACGTCACTGTTGCTGCTGTTGTTGCGGTTTTTGCCATTCTTCGCTTCCTTTTAAAAATAGCAACAAGAGCACGCCATATGCTTGAGTCCAACACTTTCTGCTGCACACTTCTGGGCTGACTGTATAATTATTTTTATCATTTAGCACATGCACACCTACGCAGCGCTCACGCACACTCACACACACACGCACACACACACACACACACACACTACACGTATCTACGTGAAGTTCAGTGTCAAATTTTCATTTCGCTTTCGCTTTTAAATAACAAAAAAAAAAAACTTTTTAACTGTCGCTGCGAAAGCTCATTCGGCCACAACCGTTCGCTGCGTTAATATAATTCATTATATACTGAGTCCATAAATGTTTCGGTTAATATTTAATGTGCGAATCTATAGATTTTAAAATATATATACATATTTAAATATACGCACATCTAACGTTAAATAAGCTTTTACAAATTTTCTTTTCAAACACTTCTCTTCTCGCTCGGTGAATTCTTTTGGGGCGCTGCTTATTAAATTTTTTGGTGGCTGCTCGCGTTGACCGTCAGTCGAAGGACTGCCTGTCCTACTGAAATTACCGTTCGTTTGCAGCGCTGCTTGTGGCTCGGCGCTGCCGCTTCGGAGTTTCATACACGCACACACACACACACACACTCTCATAAAGCTACATACAACAAAAGCAGTTTGTTGCCTACAAATTCCTACGCACATCTGCTTGTTTGCCACTGTGTGTGTGTGAGTGTGTGTGTGTGGTTAGCTCTCCTCTTGCTATGTGCTGTAGGTTAGGCACACGCGCCATCAAGCAAAAGCTCACAGCGAGCTTTTAAGCCCGCTGCCTTTTACTTTTTATTACGCCACTTTGAAGTTTAAATGTCAATTGTTATACAATGCTGGCAAAAATAGTAGGCATAGCTGCTGTGAAACGAGATTTTAAGGGAATTCAAGCAGCTGTTTTGATTGATTGTTAGATAATGTTATTCCTGGAAAATCTTTTAATGACCAACTTCTGAGCAGTTTCCATATGCCATTGGCTGCGCTACTCCAGCGCATGCTAACCACCCGCTGACGTTTGACGTAGGTTGACAGCTGTTTGCTTTGGCTGTCACTTAACTGTTATTGATTTTGCAGCGAAGCTTACGGAGCGCAACAGTTTGAAAGGCGCAGCTTTCACTTTCGTGCGCAACGTCGACGCGTCGCAACGCTGGCAACTGCGCCTGTCCAATCGCCAGCCCCGCTGCATCTGTGTTAGTGTGTCAGCGCAACGCGTGCGCGAGCCAAAAGCTTCGCCAACAGCCTGTTGCCGAAGCCAAAAACAAAACACAAATGCGAAGAACAAAAGAAAGAAATAATGTGTGTAACGGCGAGCTTCCAAGCAGAGGCGCCACTTCGCTGGAAGGCAGAGGCCCAGACAGTGACCGTGTGCTTCTTCATATGCCAACGCGTCGCTCTGAGCTCTGTTGTTGCGCTGCCTCGTTCCTTCACTCTGCTCTGCTCTGCTTTGACATGAGGTGCTAATCCCTATGCGTACCCGCCACTTGGCATAGCTGCGTGTAGCGTATTAATTTTAGCACCCGATAAAACCCAACTGCATACTTAATGCCATTTTAATGAGTTTCCCACGCTTTGTTCGTTTCCGGCTTTGTCCTCTTCTAAAGGGGGGATCAATGCTCAATGTCTAAGCTGCTCAGCTAAGTGTTGGCTTTTTGGCTTTAACTTACGCCATTTGCTTTTTAACAGGCGCAACAGGCTGTTGTTTTTGTTGCTTGTCTTGCCACAAAATGAAGCAGTACAAAAAGTGGTATCTACTTTTAGGGAGTCGCATTAAATGCGAGCATTTTTCAGGATATTTTAAAATGGGGGAACAAAAAACATAAAAAGCTTTGTAATATCATCGAATGCATATAAATAAAAATGCCTTGAAATTTAACGAATTGATAATCGATTGGAATTTAAGAGTTAATAGCAAGTCTTGTGATGAATTTACAAATAAATAAAATTTGAGCAAAATTGGAAAGAAAATATAAGCCAAGTGTAAACTAATAAAATTGAGTCCAAGTTCACTTCTTGGAAGAAAACTTTAAGTCCAGCTTATCGATTTAGCAAAGCTACTTAAGATATATACAAATATTTTATAAATTATCCAAGCTCTGTAAAGAACAAATGTTCAATAACATCGATATTCTCTAGATTTGTATATTATTATTAAAATTATTTTCATATCTCTATTCGACCATCAAAACACTCAACATTTTATTTTTTACATTTTATGTAAATCTTTATTTTATTCATTGTGTAAATTTTGTTGGTTTTAGTTAATAAATTTTCGTATTTTCCACCATCTAATTTTTTCTTTATTTTATTTTTTGTTTTTCTTGTAAGCATGTTTTCTCAATTTGTTGCACGCGTCTAGCTATAGATAGTTTTGATAATATTTTCCACATGTTTCGCATAAGTATAATTGAATCAAGTCATTTGTTTTCATAAGACGAACAATTTCCCTCTTTTTTTTTTAAGAGATGTGAGATATATATATATGTATGCTGTGTCAGAAAAAGTCAAATTTCTACATCGTTTAATAAAATTTTTTTTTAGATTTTTTTGGAATTTTTCGATGCTTTATTTATGTTTGTTTATTAACTAACAAGTTTTTTCGTTTTTTGCTTATGTTTATAAATAATTTCGAGCTTAGCCTTTTTTTCTTGTGAGTGTATGTGTATGTATGTTTGTATGTATGCATGTGTTGGTGTGTTTGATGCCAAATTAAATACATGTATATGCTTTGATGTTTAATGTAAATTAAGTCTACTTAAAATTTGGTTAAACGCTAATTTACACAGAAACAAAATACACAACTAAATTTATTAGAACTAATTAGAGCTTGTGTTTAATTAGCGCTAAGCTTAAAATTAAACGTGATGTTTCGTGTGTTGGTGTGTGTGTGTATGTGTATGTGTGTCGTTGAATTATCATTTGTACAAAGCGTTTTATCTTTATTGTTTAAATCAATTGTGACGGATTTGTTTAGTAACTGTGCGAGTTTTATGCTTGTTCCAGCTGACTTATCTATATAGCACATATAACGGTTTATAGTCTATATATGATCGGCCAGCGCTGACAACATTTATAAGGCAAGTTCAAGAGGCGGCAATTTGTGGTTGACGGTTGTTGCACGTTTTTTCTTGTTTTGTTTAATTGGTTCAGCTAAAAAAATTGTTCGTATTTTTTATTAATTTAAAGTTTTTTTGTTATCTTTGTTTTTTTTTTCTTTTTTTACAGTCTAAGTAAAAGGCACTGATTTGTATTTAAATATATATATATATATACGGCTGTATGTTTGATTGGTGTGTGTGTGTGCGAGGTGCAACGAGTTTAAACACAACAACCGTCATAGTGTGCGTGTTGGTATGTGTATGTGTGTGTGTGTGTGCAATGAAATATACAAAATAATAATACATTATGTAATTACTAAAAATGTAATTAAAATACGCGTGTTTTTTTTGTTGTGTTTTAACTCTTTTTGTTTATATCAATTGTAATTATTATAAATTGTTTTGTTGTTCTACATTTAATTTACATAGATTTATTTGCTAATACATAAAAAATGTGCATGAGTGTGTGATTTTCTGATTTTCTTTTCCATTATTATTAAGCGCAATTTATTTTGTTTTAATTTTAATTTTCATTTTCATTTTTGATTTTATTCTATAACTTTTAATAATTATAAAATTTTGCGTTTTTGCTGCTTTTTTGTTATTGCTTATTTTTAACTATGAGTATGAGATGAGTTTTGAAAGCAGATTTTGCAATGAGTTTTTGTTTTTTGTTTATTATAAGTGTGTATGTGTGTAATGGTATGGGTGTGTGTGTGTGTATATGAATGTGCTTGGTTTGTATTTTGGTTCAATAATTTAATATAATTTAAATATTTGTTGTATTTAGTTTATCTGTTGTTGTGTCGTTGCTTCTTCTTGTTCACTTATGTTTTACTAGATAAAGCATTCATTAGTTAATAATTTATAGTTGTATAGTTTATGTTTTGTATTGTATTTAAGTTCTAGTACATAGTTATATTTAGCAAAAAGCAGTTACAAATAATAGTTGCAAATTATTTTAATTTATACATACATGAATCAAGACAAGTTTAGGGGCGCGCCTAAATTATTTATATATATTTCGTTAAATATATATATATATATATATATAGAGTATATGGTAGCATAGCTTATAGCAAAAATCATAATACCTTAGCTAGAGCTAGTTTTCTATCTTCTTCTTCCATTCTTTTTCTTTTAATAAAGCATTATAAACAAAATTAATGCTTGCAGAAAAAAAATCTATACTATTAAACAATTTGGACACAAAAAAAAATTAAAGTAGAGAAAAAAACAATAATGAATTACTTTTACTTTTTTGTTACTGTTATTAAAGACAAAGAGAAACTAAACATACAATATGCAAATATATAAGTATATATATATATATATGTATCATAATGGTTATACAGTATGGGTTGTATATAATATTTAACATGTATGCAGTTATATATATATATATCGAGTGTATATATAATAATTATCATTATAACATAAACGTTTCTTGAGTTTATCGAAAGTATTTCTTTAATGCGCTGCTCTAAAATTTTGTTCGCTTTTTTCTTTTATTTATTTATTTTTTATATTTTTAGTGCTTAATTCGTTGTTGTTGCTGCTGCTGTTATTGTTGTGGCGTTTTGAGCAGCAATATATCCTTTTTGCGCGTACGACTGGCGCTGGCATTGAGTCGCTGATAGAAATAGTTGCGTCCGATTTTGCGCTGCAATTTATAGAATTTGCCCGCTAGGAACTTTGTTATGCTCTGCACATAGTCGTGCACATCCTCATGATCCTCCAGCAAATGTATCGAGATAATATCGATTTTGATCTTATCGAAGGGCAACGTCTGCAAGATCTACAATTGGAGAGTGAAGAGATTCATTTGAGTATATCTATAGGTATCGACTATTCATGTGGATTACTCACGTCTAGCTCATGGCCCTGCACGCCAAGGCTGAGCAGATCGTATTCGGTGCGCTCACATGCCAGCATGATTGTGTAGAGCGGAAAGCATTTAACACGCGAGTTGAACCACGATGTCTCCTCGTCGTGCAAACTATTTATGCGCACATCCTCGTTGTGTATGGTAATCTGTGGAATATATACATTAGTAAATTATATAATAAATGTCAAGCCATATATATTTACAAAGTGAAAGCGCTGCCAGGAAAAACAAATTGCAAGTCTCATTTTCCCTATCGAAAACGAATCATATCTCAATATAGGCTAGCTACATTGACTTCTGAGATTTTTCCCTCGCACCTACTCCCGTTATATATACTTTGAGAAACAAATTGCTTTACCTAGCGTGCTCTCACTTTATCTTCAAAAGTATACTCACCTCTTTGGGATAGGTATTGGGCGAGACACAGGCATGCACCACCTGCATGCGTTGCCTTTGCGCATTCTGCTTGAGCAACGCGAAATACCAGCGCGGCTCCGGCTCCACCAGCACGCCCATCCAATTGAGCTGGTCGCTCAACCAGGGCGCCGTTATGAGGTGAGCCAGCGGCCCGCTTAACGACTGGATGACTGCACCATTCAGCTTGCCACCGACCAACTCGGCTACGTAATGCGCCAGCTGATCAGAGACGCTGTTGCCGCTGCCGCTGCCGCTGCCGCTGCTGCTGCTGCTGCTGCTGTTGCCCGTGCCGGCGGGCGGTACAGCAGCGCTGGCTGCTGGCGCTTTCCCGGAGCTGCTGGCGGCGGTGCTTTTGGCCATAGACATATACTTGCGCATATGGATCTGGCGGAGGAATGCAATGAGTGCGGGATCATCTTGTGCCACGCTGTTCAGCTCGTAGTCGCGCGACATATTCAGACGAAATTGCTGATGCCGGATTTCTGCAAAGGACGAAGAGAAGAGATTATCAAGTAAAGCGGTACAAGCCAGTCAAGGGTAGGCTCGATAAAATTCTGAGACGTGACTGTATATGGCCCATTCTCCTGCTCTTTCCATATCTTTGATCTTGAATGTTATTTCGAAAACTCGCTTGACTTATATAATAGGTTTAGCCCCCAAAGTTGAACCGGTTTAGTTTATGAGACCTGCCTAGTAGCTTTGATTATTTGCATTGTTTAATTTAGTTGCTCTTCTAAGTAATTAAATTTAATTAAAAGTTGTTGCACCACTGGACGCTGCGCCACCACCAGCAGCAGCTGCCGCCGCCGTCTTGACTGCGATGGCGTGCGCTGCATCCACTTCGATACGCTCCGTTGCCAATTGCAGCGCATTGACCAGATTTGCATTGGCCAAATTAAGCACGCGCGAGGGAGATCTATGTGGAACGTCTTGGCAATTGAAACACTGGGCAGCATTCGATTCAAGAATGAATATTATAAATTTTTTTTTTTTGTACTACAAAAATCTAAAATATGCTGAGTGAGTTGCAAACTTCTTTTATATCTAGTGTATGGAAAAATGTTTCATTGCCAAGTGTTTCAAATAGAAACGTTTCAAGCCCAACTTAATAAAACTCAATAATAATATAAAAGCTTAATGATATCAAAAATCTTGATTTATGTTTAAAGTGTTTTAATTCCAGGCATTCCAGTTGTGTTTTGAACTTCTGCAGATTATTTATTTACTAGAACTAGCTCAAATGTAACCATAAATTCCAATTAACATGCTTCTTATTTCAACCATTTTGTTTTTAGCTTTCATCAGAATCTGACCTTTTCATAAATTGCGAAAAATATATAATAAATTAGAAAAAATTGCATTAGGAAATCAGTTTTTTTTTTTTTTTTTCGCTAATGAGACGCCCTGACTATTTGGCATTAGTTTTTGGTCAAAATGTCAAAGTCGAAGGTTAAATGGTGTTGCCAAAAAGAAACAAACGTCAAGAACTTTGGCAACGACCTCACCTGACTCGCAAGAGCCTTGAAACTATGCCGCAGCAGCAACAGCAGCAGCAGCGTTCGCTGGAGACCGGCCGGTAGGCACATAAAATATAATGAGCGCACGGCCTTTGATATTTAGCTCGTGAGCCAATTTCCCTGCCTTTTTATTACATACATACAGCTGTATATCTATGGAATAAAAGCCAACCCAACGATTTGCTGTAGTTTAAGTTTTAGTTTCATTCGTCAGTTCACTTTGCGTATTTCATTTGCTTTTCACACTTTCCTTGTGCCATTTTACACTTTTTGTTTCGTTTTACCTGACCATAGCGAATAGTAGAAAATAAAACAACAACAACAATAATAACAACATAAAGTGCTCGTAAAGCCAATAGAAATTATAATATAAAATGTACTCGTAATTGTGGCAAGTTGGAGAACTGACTGAAGGGGTTATATATATATATACATATATATATGTATATACATATACATATATATCTCGACAGCCATGGACGGTTGGCAACAACCGAAGCCAAAGAGGCGTGCCGTGACTGAAGCAATGTCAGGTACAATTTGGCATGGAACACAAATGCCATTTAGACTAATGAAAGCCTAAGCTGTAAATTTTCGGGCGTATTTTAATATTTCCTTCTGACTCAATTACAATATCAATTTGTTTGAGTGAATGACTGAATTTAGTTTAAGGTCTATAATAGACATAGAATACAGAAATGATTTACATGATCACAGGATTAAGCTTTAAGTTCAATATTATATTCATCTATATCAAATGCACAATTATCATTAAGATTAAGTACAAAGTGAAATGGAACAAAATTTATATTGCTTAGCGAATTCCTACAACTAAATTAATTTTATTTAGCTTTAAAAGTTTGTCAATAAAAAAGGCAATTTCCATTGCAAAACACAATATTAATGTCCAATTCCTAATCATTCTATTGAAGATTTCTTGTTATAATAAATAGGAATACCTCGGTACAATTCGGAATGGAACACCTTTCATAGTAGTTTATTATTTATTTTCGCCACTCAAATGTTTATTTAAAAGCACTTATGACTCCGCTCTACTATTCATTATATCAAATGTTGACTTCTATTGATTTTTAGAACCATTAAATCTATTTAATGCTCTTTATAATGATAATCGATAAATCAAGCTCGCACACATTTTTTTATCGCTTCTGTTGCGCACTTGTGTGTGGTGCTATTCTTGGCGCCCAACTATGTATTAGCCTTCTATAGTACTAGTTAGCCAGCTTTTGGGGCCCTCGTTCGCTCGAAGATCGACCCAGTTAGATTAGGCACGGTTCGGCGCGTTAAGGCCAATAAATCAGCGCTGTGCGCGTTATATATTAGCTGTTGGCACTAGACAACATAGCGGCAAAACTATTTAACAACAACAATTGGCTCTTATCGACAACACACACACACACACACATACACAATATGGAACGACATGGAAACGAGCCATTTGGAATGGTAGCTAAACAAGTAATTACACGTCAAATGAGACCCGGACTTCAAAGCGGAGTTGTAGAAATCAATAATAAAAGTGGCAATAGAAATGAATTATACAACAAAGGCCCAAAAAAAACCGTGAATAGAGGGAAACGTGAAACGAGGCAACAGGGGCTCTCTCTAAGCATTGCCACACGCAATCCAGGGCATATAACATATAAATATTACACAACAAGGGTAACATTGTCCCCCCCTTAGTAAATTGAAAGAGGGACAGAGAGAGGGAGAGAGAAAAGTTTCAGCTTTCCCTCACTTTTATTGCTGTTTGAATATTCTTTATTAAACAACTTTAAGCGCGCTCGTAATTGAAAATGCATAAAAGTTGTTGTGCCTCTGTCTCCCTGCATGTGTGCGTGTGTGTGTGTGTGTGTGTGGCTTTTGTTGAGTTATTGAATAGGGCGTGGTTGCACAAGTTTTCTGCGACTCAGCTACCCCTGGCTAAAGTCCTGGCCCATCGCCCGAGGGCCAGACATCACTCTCAAGTCTCCGTCGCGTCTCCGAGTTTGACGTCTTTAAGTCGGCCGCCGCCGTCGCTTAACCGCAATTAAACTGTTCCTTCGAATTATTTTTTGGGCCATGCCCCGTCATTTGTCTTGCCACCCTGACGACGCGCCGGCCTATTGTACGCACCGGCGATACCCTTCCGCTTGCTTCCCCAACCCCCTCTTGCAAATTAGAAATGTCAGCGATTTTGACACCGAAATTGCTGCGCCTGCGGCCAGATTACACTTCTCTTTTATTTTTCTCTCGCTTTTACCACTGTTCGTTTATAATTGTTCCAATGGGGATTACCATATGCTCGAATTTAATGCTTTTCAGGCGCAGCTGTCGCTGTTTCACTTCGCTCCATTTCATTTCGTTAACAAATTGTGGCTAACCCCGGCAGACTTAATGAGAGCTAAGCTGATGTTAATCGTTGCTAAGTGCACTTCTCTCTGTGTTCCATTCAATTTTAATTCGCCTTGAAATTTGCAGCTGTGAGTAACTTCGCCTCTATTCCATTGCATACAAATTCCATTGGATTATAGTTGGTTTTTCTAATGTTCCATTCCATTACATTCCATTCTGACCCATCAGTTTTTCTTTTATTTATTTCTATTTTATACTTCGTAACTCAATATCTCTCAATGCCACTTTTCAACTGCAGCTGTCTATGTTTCATTCCATTTCGTTCTTAACTTTTATTGCACATTCTTAGCTCATATCGCATTTGCTGCGGGTAGACAAGTTTCTAAGCCATTCCACTTAACCACTAATCGTCCAATTGCCGCTGAGTTCATGAAATGCGATCTCCCGTTCCTAATAATAAACTCTGTCTATCACATATCAGATTTCTACCACTAATAGTAGGCATAAATTTCTCTTCTCTCTCACTCTGTTTGTGTATTTTATATTTATATTTTATGGAACTGCGCTGCTCTTGTCTCATAAACTTGGCGCACTTTCCTTTCAAATTACGGCCAGCAGCAGCGTTAATTAGTCCAAGTTTTCACTTGAGCGTTTCATTGCCGTCGCGTTACGTTTTCTAGTGAAGGACAGCAGATGAAGATGGCGGGGGATTGGCAAACAAATTACTAAATGGTTGTCGTTTTGGCCAAAAGAAAAAAAAAAAAAAAAAAAAAGAGAAAAAATAATATTGTTGTTGGCCATTTTATGAGCGCCCAGCGCTAGCAACTGTTTCATATATATGTATGTATTATCATAAACTTTATGGCCATTTTGTGACCGAAAAGTTTATTTTTTTATGTTTTTTTCATATATACATATATATATTTTTGCGAAATTAACATAAAGGCGGGAGGTTGGCATAGACAATGTTGGGAATCGGAATTGGAAATGCCTTTAATGGTTCAACAATAGCAAAAAATTTGGCCAAAAAATTAACATTTCGACTTTATTGCAGCTGTATAAAAGGAGCATAGGAAATGTTGGAGGTAATTAAATTTTAATGCTCCATACCCAGGCATACCGAACCACGCCAAAAATACCAGTAGTGAGATACAATATAATTGTAATCTGTTATTTTTATTTATTTATTGGCTAGCAAATCAAAAAAAAAAAAACAGCGCAAAAGGCATTGAAGAAGCGTTTAGCATAATTGAATTGTGTGTTCCGTTGCAAACTATACCTAACCTAAAAGCAATTTGGCTCATTATGGACATTTGAATTTCAAATTCAATTGAAAGGCATAATTTAATAATGTTACAATCAGTAAGCTCCAGAGATATAGCAAATTTGCATTATAGCTGCGTGACTCGAGGGCTTATCGCATGGCAATTGCCGCAATTGATTGCCCACTTTCATAAGACAAGGGCACAGGAGAGGAAATGTATAAGAGAGTCAGAGAAAGAGAGAGAGTGGGGGGAGAGGTGAACCTCACACGTTGAAGACGCCACCGCGGCCAAGACATGAAATTGCGCAATTGCTCAAGTGAAACGTAAGCGAGCGGGGGTTGCAAA